CGGAATGGATGGAGGGACATTGAATGGATGGAAGCACAGTGGTTAAATTGCAGAGTATTGGTTGGATGGAGGAGCATTGATTAGATGGAGGAGTATTGGTTGTACAAAAAGGTGTTGATAGATGAAGGAATATTGATTGGATGGAGGGGTACTGATTATATGAGGGAGTATTTGTTAGATGGAGGGACATTGATTGAATGGAGTAGTATTGGTTGGACAGAGCCATATTGGTTCAATGAAGGGGCATTGATCGCATGCAACGACATTGATTAGATGAAGGAGTATCGGTTGGATGGAGGGGCACCGGTAGAATGGAAAGGTATTGACTGGATGGAGGAGCACTGAATGAATGAAGGAGTATTGATTGGATGGGGAAGTACTGGTTGGATGGAGGAATATTGGTAGGATACAGGGGCATTGATAGGATGGAGGGGTACTTGTTGGATGGAGAGGGATTAATTGGATGGAGGAATATTGGTTTGATAGAAGGATGTTGGTTGGGTAGAGGAACATTGATTGCATGGAGGAGTACTGGTTGGATGGAGGAGTATTGGTTGGTTGAAGGGGAATTAGTTGAAATCGGAAGTACCGGTTGAATAGAAGGGCATTGATTGGGTGAAGGAGTAATGTATGGATGGAGGGGCATTCGTTGCACAGAAGAGCACTGACTGGATGGAGAAATACTGGCAAGATAAAGGAGTGTTTGTTGGATAAGTGAGTACTGGGTGGATGGAGGGGCCCTGGGTGGATGAAGGAGCACTGATTTAGGAGAGGAGTATTGGTTCGATGGAAGGATACTGGTTAGATGGAGATGTCCTGATTAAATAAAGAAGTACTGGTTGAATAGAAGGGCATTGATTGGAAGCAGAGGCATTGATTGGGTGAAACTATTTTGGTTGGTTAGAGGGAAATTGATAGGATAGAAGGCCACTGATTGGATGCAAGGCATTATTGGATGGAGGGGCATTGATTGGATGCAGTTGTTTTGGTTGGCTGGAGGAACATGGGTTGGATGGAGGGGAATTGATTGAATGGAGGAGCACTGAACGAATAGGGGTACTGATTGGATGAAGGTGTATTAGTTGTATTGAAAGGAGTTGGTGGATGAAGGAATATTGGTTGGATGAAGGGACATTGATTGGATGAAGGGACATTGATTGGATGGAAGAGTATTGGTTGAATGAAGGAGCAATGACTGGATGGAGAGATACTGATTGAATGGAGGGGCTGGCATGTGGGATTGGCATCGGTTACATGGTGAGCCATTAATTGGATAGACAAGTATTGGTTGGATGGAGGGTATTGGTCAGATGGAGAAGCATTGATGGATGGAGAAGAATTGATTGGATGGGAGGCGCATTGATTAGATGGAGGGGCATTGATTGGGTGTAGTAGTATTGGATGGATGCAGGAATCTTGATTGGATGGAGGATCATTGATTGGATTAAGGAGTACTGGTTGATTGACTGGAGGAGTATTGGCTGGAGAGAAGAGCACTGATAGGATGAAAGGGCATTGATTGGATGGTGCAGTATTGTTCTGATGGGGGCATTGATTGAATGGAGAAACACTGAATAATTGGAGAAGTATTGGTTGCAGGTATATTGGTTGTATAAAGGAACATTAACTGGATGCAGGAGCATTGATAGGATGGGAGATTTTTGGTTGGATGGAATAGCATTGATTGAACGGAGGGGCATTGGTTACATGGAGGGACATTGATTAGATGGAGGGGCACTGATTGGGTAGAGGGGCACTGACTGGATGGAGAAGCATTGGTTGGATGGGGTGTTGGTTGAATAAGGGGACATTGATTGGATGGAAGGGCGTTGGTTGAATGAAGGAATGGTGCCAGGATGGAGGAGGGACCTGGCAGCAGACGGGAGCCAGATCATACCTCGATGGCCTGGGTGTATTGTTCCAGCCGCTGGTCAATCTTGGAGATGGGCAAGTCTGGTTGGGACTTCTTCACACTGTTACTGGAGGGTAGAAGATGTGTCAGGCCCCATGTCTCCCACAAGGCTTCTCCCAACCTGCCCAAGCCTCCCCCAGAGCGCCCCTCGGTCTCCAGATCTCCACCCTGTGACTCCCTTCAACCCCCTCTTGGGGAAACCTAAGATCTGAGCCCAGAAAGCAGATAGACAGACAGACCTCTTCTCTATGGAGCGGTTTAGGGACTCGGTCCTGTCGATGAGCTGCAGAGGATGGAGAGAGACACAGGCCTGCAGCAGCTGAGGTAAAGCCCACCCTCCATCCCCACAACTACTCCATCCACTAATCCAACCCCCAACCCTTATATCACGGGGCTTTGCTGAGCATCAGGAAACGCGGGGGATAGCAGACAAAAGCCGGGCCTGGGCCTGGTCTTCCTGTGGCTGGCATGTGGGACTGGTCTTTTGGGTATGAGTCCGGGAGAGGGGAGAAGATGGCAGGCTTTGCAGCTTGACCTACTTTGGTGGTGGGGCTCAGGGGAGGTGAGCTGTGTTCAATGGTCCCCTCCAAGATCAAGGGGCTGGGTGTCCTGGGCTGCTGACATTTCTGGTGCTAGAAAAGAAACAAGACAAAACAGACATCCCAGGTGACCCTCTGCTGGTATCCCTCCTGCCCTGCCCAGCACCTGTGGGAACAAATGCTGTTCCTCCCTGAGCCCCAGGTTCTCTGTGGCCCTGACATGCTCCCGTTCTAGAGCTGGTGGGGAGGGACTGAGGAATCTGGGGAAATGTCTCCGGATCTTGCAAGAGGATCACCGAGCCTCACCCTCTCTGAGAATGTGGGCCCAGAAGGGGCTGCAAGGTCTAGGGGTGTGGGGTGCTGACCCACTTTGGGCTAGACCCACAGGGCCCACAGAGTGGTGCAGACAGCAAAGGCAGGCTCATCCCTGGGGTGGGGGTGCAGTCAGACCCTCTGAGGTGGAGCCATCACCTCCTCCTGCTCCTCCTCAGCCCCTGCGGCCCCCAGGTTGTCCTGGACAGTGTCCTCTGGGTCTGGTTCCTCCTTGCTCAGACTCAACTCCTCCAGGCGGACTTCATCACCGTCCTCCTTTTCACCGGCATGCAGGCCGGGCCTGTGGGTGGAAAGGGAGGCAAAGCCATTCTAGGGCCATTGGATTGCTTGGTTGACCCCTTCCTTTTTCCAAGCCTCAGTTTCCCCATCTGTAAAATGCAGGTAGTCAGGCTAATTGAGTGCCAAGGGATCTGAGACCCAAGCCCATTGGGAAAGAAGGTCCAGCGGCCTCAGAGCCGGCGCATTCTGCTTGGGTCCCTGTGTCAGGGCCTGAGGCCCTTGGGGAACTGCCCAGTCCCCCCCAGGCGGGGCTCTACAGACGGAGGGGCCCCCAGGCACTGAGGCTGGGTTCAACCCCAGCTTCCTGGCTGGGCCTCAGCTTGGCAGCTGCCCGCCCACCCAGTTGGTCTGGTGAGGTGCCCGGGGGGGCCAGGCTGCCGGGACCACCACTCCTGCTCGGCTCCCTGTAGGGGCCCTGGGGTGTGTGGGGGACTGGAGGCTGGGTCATTTGGAGGGCTAGGCAGGGGCAGGGGCCAGGCCACTGAGTAGCAGGGCCAAGGGGCTGCCGGCTGCGGGGGAGGGGAGGCCAGCCAGCTGGCAGCTTCCAGCGGCTCTGCATTTGAGCAGGACTGAACCTGGAGGAGAAGATGGGAAATTCTCGAATTTTCCATGATTTCAGGCCCCTGGGTGTGCGTGCCAGCCAAGACCCAGACCCACCCGCCCAAGGTGGGCAGGGGTCTGAGCCAGCAGCAGCCACACAGAGGGCCCGTTCAGCAGCCAGTCTGAGCAGCCTGGCAGGTGCAGGGGGTAGGGCGGCTTCTCGAGCTGGGTTTCACGGAAGAGTCAAAGCGCCCCCTGCTGTTGGGAGCAGCCTGGCCCGCCTAGGCCCGAGGCCAGGGAGAAGGGCGCTGCCCCGGCTCAGAAATGCAGGGCCGCTGACTCCCAAGCGTGTGGGGGAGACTGAGGCCTGGGGAGGGGGCGGCGAGCACTGTGCCAGACCACGACCGGTGCCCTGGTTATAGGAGGACAAGGCAGCGTCGCTCAGCAACACTGGTCCCGAGAGCTCCAGGCTGGTTTAGGACTTCAGAGGGGGCAGGAAGGACCCCGACCAGGGAGAACTGTCAGCCCAGCCACGGGCTCTGGTCCCATTCAAGGCAAGGGGGTCCTGAGCAGGGCTGGGGTCCTAGATGGCCCGGGCCCCGCAGAGCGGGTGGGGCCGGCCCCATCGTGGCCGCAAGTATCTGAGAGCAGCAAGGACCCCGAGCAGGCTGGGCAGGGGTAGTGAGGTGGGGCTTGCACGCAGCCCCCGTTGGGCCCGCTGGGGTTGAGGCCGGCACACACATCCACACATCTGGAAAGTGTGTCCTCCCACCCCACTCTCCGGCATGCACATCTGGAAATACCTGCTCCCCTCCGTGGGAATGGAGATCAGCCAGCCCCGAGGGAGGAAGGGGCGGCGGCGGCTCTCAGCCTCCATTACGGAAGCGGCCGCAGCTGTGTGCTGATGTGGCAGCACTCGGCCTGGCCCCGCAGCTGCCTGGATGGGGCCCAGGGGCCCTGGAGAGCCCCAGAATGAGGTTTCCTCGCGGCCCTTTGCCGGCCACCATGCTGTCTCGCCCTCTTCCTCCCTCCCCTCCTTTCTCCCCCTTTCCTGGCCATGGGGGCATTTCAGGGGCGGCTTGGAAAGGGGAGGATGGGGTGGCTGCTCAGGCGCAGGCTGAGGGCCTGAAGGGAGCCTGCTGTGCCCTGCTCTGCCCAGCGCCCACCCTCGAGGCCCGGCGGGAGCCCCGCTCTGCCCACTGCCCACCCTCGGGGCCCTCACTCACTTGTCCTCTTGCTCCCCCTCAGGACTCCTGCACCGGGGGGGTTCTCTGCTGTCCGAGGCGCCCTGGACCCCTTCATGCTCCTGCCGCTGCTCTGGCCTCTGGGACCAGTCGCCAAAGCCCTCGTCCTCATCCAGTTCAGGGGCCTCCGAGGGCTTCAGGCTGAGGCTGAGGGTAGCAGGGGGAAGCTTAGGACTGGGCGGCTGCTGCCTCCTCTGCTCGGGGCCCACACTCACCTCATGGCACCTGCTCAGGCCCTGGGCTCCAAGTGTGGGAGACCCTGTCTGCCATGGAGCTGGCTCTGGGCTGTGTGTCCTGTGGTTAGGGAATCCCTGAGGGTAGGGCTGTGCCTCCCCCATCAGTCTGGGGCAGCCTGACAACTGTGCTTCCTCCATCAGTTCAGGACTCCTTGAGGCTTGGCAGAGTTGTGCCTCCTCCATCAGTCTGGGGCTACCTGAGGGCAGGACTATGCCTCTCCCATCAGTTTGGGGTTCCCTGAGGGTAAGGCTGCGCCTCTTTCATCAGTGTAGGGCTCCCTGAGGGCAGGGCTGGGCCTCCCCCATCACTCTGGGACTCCCTAGGGCAGGGCTGGGCCTCCCCCATCACTCTGGGACTCCCTAGGGCAGGGCTGGGGCCTCCCCCATCACTCTGGGACTCCCTAGGGCAGGGCTGGGCCCCCCCCATCAGTCTGGGGCTCCCTAGGGCAGGGCTATGCCTCCCCCATCATCCTGGGGCTCCCCAAGGGCTGCCCTGATCCCCAGGCTCCTCCTAAGCGCCTATGTGGCAGGGTGAGCTCCTGGAGAGCTAGGGCTCTTGGCGGGGGTGGCCGAGGGCCTGACCGTGGTGACCGCTGAACCCCACTCTGCCCAAGGCTGCTGACTCGGAGAAAATGGAACAAAAGAGGCCAGGAGGAAGGGGAGCATTATTGGAAAAACAGCCCAGCCCAGCCGCGGAGGCCTCCTGGGCCCAAGGAGGAAGCAAGCCAGCCTGGCCGCCAAGTTGGACGTGGCTCTGTGAGTCATTGGCGGGGGAGTCTGGTTGGGGGCCCAGGGGCTGGCTGCGTGGCTGGGGTCAGAGGCAGTACAAGCAAGGCCCAGCTCACGAGCACAGAGCCTGGGTCAACGTCCAGCAGGCAGCCAGGCATTAGCAGACCCTCACCCAGGGCTGCAGCCCCCCTCACCCCAGGAGTACTCGCCCCCTCCTATGCTTGCTTCTGGGGGCTCTTCCTTGTTCTCGTGCTGCACTGGGACCCCCAAGTCCAGGCCCTTGACCTCCCCCTCAGCTCAGGCCCCAGGGTGCACGGACAGGGGTCAGAGGCCGGGCACGCGGTGGGGGTTGCTCACAGCATCTCATGCTCCGGCCGCTCGGGGACATGGCTGCCTCCGTCCACATCCTGGGCCTGAAGCTGCCGGTCTCTCTCCTGCCGGCATGGGTCACGGGTGGCCTCCTCCTCGTCTTCCACGCTCCACTGAGCAGTGGGCCTGGTGGGGGACACAGAGGGACAGTCACGCCACAGCCGAGACCGGCGCGGTTTTGCACCCACTCCTCCTGTCTATGCAGGGCCTTGCTGGGCCACACAGTGTGGGCAGCCCTGGTCCACGAGGGCAGTCCCAGGCTGGCCCTCAGGCCTCACCTTGTCCATCTTTAAATAGAGGCTGCCCACGTGGTCATGAGGTGCCCTCTGACCCAGGCGAGGGTCCCGGGGCCTTGTGAGGATCTGGGCACCCCTGTGCCCTGTGGGGATGAAGGTGGGACTCCAAGGCCCATTCAAGCCTGAAGAAACTCAAGGACATGACAAAAGATCCTCTGTCCCCCTCTCCCAGCCCACCTCCCTCCCTAGGTAGAGCCAGGACCTAGACCCAGGTGACCCTGGAGGGCCCAGGAAGAAGATACTGGAGTCCAGGGAGACTGGCCACAGTGCGCCGCCAGGCGGCACCTCCACCCTACCTGCTGGTGCTCCCTCCTGCACCCCAAAGGCAGGGTGTGTTGGGGAAAGGGGGCCCCACATGAGGTCCAAGGCTGAGGAAAGGAGGCCCCGCACATGTCCAGGCAGGACACCTCCTGTCCCACCACCAGCCCTGCTCACAGAAGCCCAGCAGACCGGTGGGCTCCTGCCTGGGCCTAACCCCATAGCTGGGGGCACCTTACAGGGTCGGCTCACCCAACCCCACCCCACCCTTATTTCAGAGCCCTCTGCGGAGTCTCTCTGAGCTGTTTCTTTTGTTTGTTTGTTTCAGCGTTTCGCTCTTGTTGCCCAGGCTGGAGTGCAGTGGCGCGATCTCGGCTCACCGCAACCTCCGCGTCCCGGGTTCAAGCGATTCTCCTGCCTCAGCCTCCTGAGCAGCTGGGATTACAGGCGTGCACCACCACACCCGGCTAATTTTGTATTTTTTAGTAGAGACCGGGTTTCTCCATGTTGGTTAGGCTGATCCCGAACTCCCGACCTCTGGTGATCCGCCCACCTCGGCCTCCCAAAGTGTTGGGATTACAGGGATGGGCCACCTCGCCCGGTCATTTGAGCCATTTCAAAAATGGTGAAACTGAGGTAAGGGAGTGCTACTGCTCTCAGAGACTGAAACCATGGCTTCTCGGGGTCCCACATGCCCCACTGGGGGACAGAGGTAGACACAGGCTGGCCTGGACCCGGTTATCAGAGCCCCGGCCCAGCACCTCTCAGACAGTCTGGGTCCTGCAGACACCTCGGCCTCAGCTGTCGTGGCCCTGCCTCCCATCGACCTCCTAGAGCCTGAGTCGGGGGTCCAGGGTCTCTACACTCCTACAGGGCTTATTATCCCAGACCCAGGGAGGGCGCCCAGGCCAGAACGGGGAGCAGGGCTGGGGTCTTGCCGCTGGGGTCTCAGTTCTTCCCGGCCAGTGTCCGCTGCCTGACCCTGCAGCCTGATCCCCACCAGGCCCCAGTCCCCTGGCCAGACAGCCCTGCCAGCACATGATCTAATCTCTCCTAGGTCTCCCCTAAGCCTCTCAGACAAAAGCCAGGCCCTTCCACAGGCCCGAGTTCAAGGCCCACTCCCCCCACCGAAGCCACAGGGGACTCCAGCCACGCAAACCCAGCCGCCTGTGCACCCCGCCCCCTACGCCCCCGAATCCGCCTGCCTGTCCTGCTCCTCAGAAATGCCTTCAACTCCCGGCCCCCGAGGAAGCCACTTAATTCCCCACACCTGGCTCCCATCATCCGGGCAGATGAGGCCCAGCTTCCCGCTTCTGCCGGCCTCCGCATGGCTGGGGGCTGCTGGGCCTCGTTCCACCTGGGGAGGCAGAGCCTGGGGCGCAGGGGCCCGCATGCTCACTCACGCCCCAGCCCCTCCAAACGGAGGGTGGTGCAGAACTGGGGCAGAGTGTTGAGGAGGTGGAGGGGTTCCATGGAGGGGAAGCCTGGCCATGTTCCTCTCCGTGTTCCCATGTCCCAGCCTCTCCATGTGAGCAAGGGCTCAGCTGGGGTGTGTGCCCCTGGGCCTGGGGTATGAGATGGAGCCCCAGCTCCTCCTTGGACCTGGGCTTCCGATGGGTCCAGGGCCCTCATTCCAGCTCCACAGACCCCCTCCACCAAGCCGTAGGGGAGAGGAGAGCTTAAAAGCCCACACTGGTGCAGAGACCCCAGATACTCGTGTGCACACGTTTCCTCGGGTGCACCCCTATGGGCAATGAGTCCGGGCCCCAACGGCCCCACAAAGGCCCTGGCTCTGCTCACAGCTCATGCCCTACACATGGAGCACAGCCGTGCGCGGGCTCCCCAGGCCCGGGGCAAACGCAGGTGCACACCCGACTCACACACGTTCTCCACGAGCCCACACTCCAGCCACACAGGCACACATGCCCGCACCCCATAGGCACATACAAGTACGCTCGTGCTCACACACGGGAACCCTTGACATTCACGTGTGTGTGCAAACAGGCTTGGGAACAAGGCGACCACGTCCCCCTCCAGGGATCCCTTCCGGGTGCACTAAAGTGAGGCTGTTTAGTGAGGCAAACATTGACTGTTTGCCTTGCCATTGCCCTGACAACGGCAGTGCGGTCCTGGCACGAGGCCCAGGTGTGTACTCTGGGAACATCATCCCTGCCGAGCTGGGGCCCCTCAAAGATCACCCCGACTGAGCTCTCCCTGGCTAGGGGCCTGGAGGACAGAGTAGGGGTGCAGAGTAAGCATCTCCTGGTGTCTCCCCTAAAACCCAAGGCTGGGGAGAAGCCCCGCCAGCCCCTGGCCTCTGACCCAGCAGACTGAGGACGTGGAGGCCTCTGGGCCCCTTCCCCGTCTCCTCCCTTTCCCCTACCCCAGGATGTGAGTCATGCGGGCCCCCTCCCCATGACCTCACCCCCTCACTATTCCACAGCTGGGCTCTGTTCTGGGAACTGAAAGGGGGGCAGCTCTCCTGGGGTGGGGTGGGGGCCTCTGGCCTGGGAAAGGCGCCCCCCGGCCAACGGCCCAGGCCCCTTGGCATGCACAGCAGAGCTGTCAGGACTCTCAAATGGCCGACCCCGCCCGTGGCCCTGGCTCAGCCCCGTGCAGCTGCGAGGGATTTGGTGTTCCTGCGCAAATGCAATTAGGCGATTTCCTGTGTCTGTTCTGGCTCCGAAGCCCAAGGTTCAGCCCAAGGGGCCAGGCAGTGGAGGGGGGGGCTCCATCCACCTCCCACCCCGGCACACCCCCACACCCTCACAGTCCCAGGCTCCACTTCGGGGCTTGGCTGCCAGCCAGGGACACCAGAATGCACGGAACCCTGACGGATGCCTTGTTCTGAGTGGGACTCCCCAAGCTCAGGTCTGTTCCTGCCGTCCTCATCCACTGCCGACCACCTCCTGACTCCGGACGCTGGCCCTTCTTCTCCTTCCTCCACAGACCCCCCCGCCACTTCTACCTCCCAGTCCCCACCGAGGGCCTGACAATGTTCGTCCGCAGCTCAGCACTCCCAGCTGCCCACCTCCAACGTCCCCCTGCAGACACTTCCAGAATGAGTGCCCGGCTTGGTCCCCGTCCCGACTCTGCCCCCTGCAGGCAGCTCCTGTGGCCGCCTCACCCGGCTGTTCTGAGCCCAGTGGTCGGCTGGAGAGGGTCCTCTCTGGGGTCCTGGGGAGTGAGGAGGTTCTGGTGAAGAGCAGGGGCTGCAGGCAGGATGTCGAGAGGAGGGGGAACTCCTCCTCCGGGCCGGACCACAGGTCCCCTGGACACCACAGGGAGCTGGCAGGAGGCCTGGAGAGTAGGGCTGGGCCTCCAACCAGGGTGGCTCAGGGCTCCCTGCACAGCGCTGAGGTCTCTGGTCCCCTCGTGAGCCCAGCCTCCCCTGTGGTCATAGACTTGCCCCCTCAAGTCACTGCAGAGCCCAAGAGTGGGAAACGCAGCACAGTGTGCCGGGAAAAGGTGCCCACAGGGGCCCTTCATGGCTGAGGCTTCCAGAGGGTCGTGGGACAGCAACCCCGACCCCACCAGGCACCCACCACAGCATTCACAACACAGCTTCGGAGTGTGGGTCTGGGTCTATCTGGGAAGCCAGGGCAAAGGCAGTGGCAGCTGGCAGCACCCACACCCACAGCTCTGGGGCACGGCTCACATGAGCCCCCATCAGCAGGCCCCTTGGTTGTACCACACACAGGGGTCCCACCCCAGGGAGGGGGCAGTCCAGGGAGGGGCCCGAGGGTGTAGCACGGGCCAGCTGTCACCCCTCCCTGGAGAGGCAGCTGGGGACGAAGCTGGGAGGGGAGCCAGGAGCAGAGACAGCCCGGGGCCAGCACGTGGGTGACAGGTGGGGCAGCGGGAGGGGCACACGCCATCCACCTGGGGCTGGGGTGTAGAGATGGGAACCTGCCCCCCAGTGCCTGGCGCTGGCTCAGCCTGACCCCTGGGCCTCCAGCACCTTCCCAGTTGTGTCTGCACCCTGCTGGGCGTGGAGGGGAGGGAGGGAGTCAACCCCTTTCCTTGTAGTCCTGGGCCAGGGGGCGAGGGAGACGCCCCAGTGATCAGAACCCTCACCTCTCTGCCTGGGGAGGCCAGGTGATGAGCCGCCTGGAGCAGGAGGAGGCCTTGAACTTGGGTCTGAAAGATGAGCTGGGGTTTGCCGGCCAGGTGTGGGCAAGAGCTAATGCAGGAAGGCAGAGAGCCGGAGAGCTTAGAGGGAGTAGCTCTGTGCGGCTGGAGCCAGATGGGTGACCCCCACTCAGGAGGAAGCACTCGGACCCTCTCTGCATGTGCGGGGTCCTCTGCCTCCCGCTAGGATCCTCACGCCTAGGTCCTTCTGGGCCGCTGCCGCACAGATGGGGTCTGGAAGGCTCCCTGGAGGAGGCGACGCCTGGACTTGGACATCGGCCTGCAGAGCTGGCTTCCCTCACAACCCTGGGAAGACGGAGCTCCCTGGCGAGTTGATGCGGGGGAGGCGGAGCCTCCCTCCATGGCACCAGCCCAGTGTTGGGGGCGACACAGAGAGCCGGAAACTGGTGGGGGCGGGAGGCTCTGCCTCCCATGGGCTTTACATACCGAAGCCCTCATGGCCAAGTGGAACCCAGGGTCAGCCCGGGGAGGTCGCGAGAAAGGAGACTGTGGGCCCCACCCCATCACACAGGGAGGAGGCGCTGTGCCCCCTGGGGGGGACAGCTGCCCCTCTCTGGGCCCTCTGGGTGGGAAAAGGCTTGGTGAGGCAGAAAGCCCAGCCCCAGCCGGCAGGGTTGGCTTCTCGCAGTGGCAGCGCTTTGTAACCCGGGGGTTCCTGCAGGGTCTCTCTTGGTTTCTCACCATGGGGCAGCATTTGGGGGCCTCTTGAGGGACCCCCTAGGTGCTTCTACTCAGAGCCCCCAAAACCAAGGAGCCTCCACTCCTCTGTCTGCAGCCTCCCCTGCCGGCTCTCGGTACCCAGGGCTCAGTGGCCTGGGGGCTGACAGAGGGGGTCGCCTCTGACAAGGCCCCTCCTGGCGCCTCCCTGACTTGTCCAACCCACCTCCCTCCCACGCTGGCTCAGGCAAAGGGCTCTGGTCACCAGACGCCCTTCCTGCCCAGCCCCGGCCCCTTCTTGGCCTTCGCCCCACCTGGCCTCCCCTGGAGCCCTGGCCTGGGTGCCCGGCCTGCTGGGTTCAGAGCCCCACCCCGCCCTGAACAACCCCGAGCCTCAGCCACCCTCAGTTCTCACCCATTTCACAGCTGGGGAGTGGAGCCTGAGGTCTCATCCCTAGGAAGAGGCATGGGGAGACCAGACCTCACCCCGACACTGCCCCTACCGTCCCCAGCCTCCCTCCTCTGCGGGGCTCCCTGCTCTTCCGGCTGCCACCCTGA